GGGGGGGAGAGTTTAAACATCCAGTACGACTGTTTTGTGTTCTGTTGTGAAAAAATGTGAAAACTTCTCAAAGGTTTCAACATAAAAGTCTACTTTCTTTTAACTTAACAACACCTTTAGCTTTTAGTTTAAAAAACAATTATGGTATGGCTGTAGAATTTTCTTTTTCCTAATTTTTTTGCTGCACAGTTGTCAACTTCCCAGAAGAACCTGTTCATATATATCATCATATCTGAATCTGTTTCCCCATCCTTTAGAAACAGAACTCAATAAGTCGGGTGATACTGTAAAATACATTGCCAGTCTTTTTCAATATGAAGGTTTTACAGTATTTTTTTACGTCTATTGAGTTTAGAATAATTTGTGTTTTAAACACCAAATTAACATAAGCAGCCATGGGAAGCAGTACAAGTACAGATGTTCTTGGGACCAGAGAGCCTTATCATTTGGGGTATTTGGTAAACACTTTCCACAGGATGAGGAGAGGTAAAGTGGTAAAGACTCTCCACAAATCAGTCCCATTTGGCGGTCACATAGGGTCATGGGGGTATTGCAGCTGAGCACTCAGCACAATTGTTATGTCAGCTCAGGTTTTGATTTTTTGACTTTTTTTTTTTAACGCATAGGAATAGGGACTAAGTCGTTGAAAAAAAAGACAATCAAGACAATTAAGTAATCAATATTTTTCTGAGCTGTCAACAAAGAATACACCACTTTTTTAAAAAGACAATCTGATTTTTGGGTTTTATGTTTCCATAAAAAGAGATGCACTTCCAAACAATAATAGTCACCCAGTGAAGAGAAAGTTAAAGACAGACAAAAACCAGAAGGAAAGAAAAGATTTAAAGACCTAGAATCTAGTAGACTAGTAGCACCTACCAACCATCAAGAGGTAATTTAGAGACAAAGCAGAAGATATCACTTTAGAAAAGGACAACAAACAAAATAAGGCCTCATCCACCTGGAGTAGAGAAGAACGACACTGTTCTGAAGAAGTAGGAGGGGCAGACTGCACTACAAGGCCATTTCATGTTACATTGAAGTCATTAAATCGACATTTACTTTTGAATAGCATCAAACTGTCTGCAGAGATGCTTATTGATGAATTCAAACTAAGTCACTGCTTTATAAGTAGAATCTAAGAAGGCTGTATCACTTTTTAAAACATTTTCCAGCAGGTCATCATATCCCTGCACTACATGTTGTATGCAGTTCTACTTTTCGTGATGAATCATTTGAATGGTCTTACAGTGTCCACCTGGGACCAACTACACAGTGATCTGCGAGTACCCGAATACCTACTTCAATATATCGAAACAAATGAAAAATGTCACTATCATCATCACATATGGCAGTAAAAGTACACAAAGACGTGACAACAACACTACAGACAGCTTTCAAGTTCTACCCACATAGAGTAGGAAAGTGAGTGCAGTTCGAACATTATTAATTTAACACTGCTGACACCATATATTATATATATCATATTACGCTCAAATGAGAGAGAGGAGACAGAGAGAGAGAGAGAGAGATAGAGAGAGAGAGAGAGAGAGAGAGAGAGAGAGAGAGAGAGAGAGAGAGCGAGAGAGAGAGAGAGACAAGAGAGAGGAAGGGAGGGAGAAAGAGAGAGAAAGAGGGGGGGGGGGGGGGGAGAGAAAGACAGTCTTGTCAATGTATTTCCATTTGATTACATACCTCGTGTGTTTCAATAACTCCACCCTATGGTACTACCACGACTTAAGAAGACAAGAAGTATTTTATACCACCAAATACTAAGGCTATGAATAAAAAATACTCACAGTTCGTCCTTCTGCCGCTGCGATAAAACCATTTTGAAGTCTTGAATTGTCTTGTCACAATACTAGGCTCCTTATTATCCACAGGGACTTAAACCGAAACTCAGAACCAATTCGTGCTCTTTAGAAAGAGGCCATACTCCACTTCGCAGTTACAAGATATACCTGCATGACAAAAACACAATGTAAACATTTAAAAACTTATCTTATAAGTAAAAATGAAATGAAGTTTTCAGGCCATTGAACTGTCTGTTTACACTCCAACAACAGAAGTCCAGCTTTCATTACAAGTTTATCAATTACTAATATTATGCTAGCAAGATAAGTTGCAGACTTGCCAATTAATCCTTGCAGATGATTCTAGCTATAATGTCAAAAAACTATTTATATCATGTATGCACAAGATGTTTTTCTAATAGTAATAACAAACTGATGCATTACACACACCTCTACAAAAAGTAGGTCCTACAAACAATATAATAATAAAGACGAAATCAAGACACAAACATTGCAGAGTAGTCTTTCTAAGATTCCACTCCTCCATTTTCTTCCTCCACTAGTTCCACATTTGCATGATAGCATGTCATTATAACTATTTGGTTCCTTTACAATTTTGGGGGGAGACCCAACTCAAAACCACTTTCTATTTGTTGCTTAACTTAGCGACCGCTTGTGACAAATGACAAGGGATTTACTATACCATACTTCTATGACAGTTAAATTTTATAGGTGGGTTAAGAAGTACTATAAAAAAAAAATTACACACTGCGTCCATTATAGCACCAAAAAAAGGAGTCAGAATTAGCTTCCTTAAAATGGTTATTATGGAACATCTTCAATGCAGTCACTTTGATCAATTTTTTTTTAAATTGAAGAAAATAAATCCTTGCATTAGTACATGATGAAAGATGTAAATGAACTGGCAAAATAAATGAATGATGATAGAGGTGGGCAAAGTCATCAAACGTGAGGAAGGATTCCAGACTTCTAAACATTATTTCAGGTACACTCTAAACTCTAAGGATGTGGAATAGGGTAAGGGATAATAAGGTTCACACTCAATTTAGACCAAATTAACAGTTGGTGTTTACTTAAGAGCAAAATTCCATCTAGACGAGCCAGCTCTAATTAGGTACGGCACAGTATTATTCACCCAATGAATTATAAATGTTTTAAAGCTGAAGGCGAGGGTAAGGGTATGGGAGGTACTTCAATGATCAATCTCACACCGAGTGAGTGGGTCAGCTCAATTCTTGGGTACAATTCGGGCCCCAGATCCACAGACAGAGTGCAAGACGGGCAGGGTAGAGGCAACACAATAAATACAGTGATGACAATAAGAACACAAAACTAATGATGTGACAGTGACTGTGGACAAAACCAGCTATAAAAACCAAAAGCATGCAGAGTGGAGAGATTTAGAATATGACTTAGAAGGCCTATAGATCTCTAGTCTTCAGAAGAACTTTCTGTGGAAGTGGGTGACTCATCAACCAAACCATGGAATTCATAGGAACACAAACAAAACAAGTCGGTGGGGATACTCTTGTTTTGTATGTCCTAGACTACTAATCCATCCATTTGTTCAAAGTCAAATTCAGCACTTTTGATTTTGCATTCAACTCATTAGATCTAGAATCTAGATATCAAGATCGAAGTAGGCCTGCTGTACAGTACGGTCAACATAAAACTGAAGTAAAGACATGAAATAAGTTAAACGAAGTCTATTAATCTAGTTAGAGACCTTCAACTTCAACAGACATTCTGCAATGCTGAGAATGAGACTGACTCCACTGATCATTATTATGTCAGTTTGTCAAGGAACTGAGATCTCTAGAAGGTTCAAATTCAGGGGCACGATTGGAGAATTACTTCAACTAGAACTTATGTGTGTAAGGTGGGAATGAAGATTAGAACCCATCAAGGAGAGGGAGGGAAGAGGAAGGGCAAAGCAGGTAAACCTATACAATCCCCAAGCAGAAGTCTGCTGAGGCAAAGTCGCAACATCAAAAATTTCAAAACACACCCATCCCCCCTCCCCTCTTATTTTTACCAATCCACCTTCACCCTCCAAAAGGATCAGAAACATGATGTGAGTAAGTGAACGACTGTCTAAATAACTAATGTGCTCTCAAAAGACTAAAAACTAGTACAGTGGCCAACACAATCTGTTGTTTGTTGTGTTGGAATTCGAGGAGAGCTGCTAGAAAATCTGAAGTATGTCTGGCTCGGGCACGGTTCTGGATCACATAAAAATGGGAGGGGAAAATACATGTATTCCTTTCTCGGGGTTTGAATAAGACTCATGGCAACACCAAGAAACGCTTACAACTAAACAAAAATAGCTCTTACCTTTTCGTCGATTCAAAGGACAATAAACTTGTCTGTTTGAGGAGGTCACAAAAATCGAAATTATAATGTGGTAGCCTAGGTTAGCACACGTAAACCGCAGTCCGTCTACTGATGACACTTATTCGCGCACAGAACCTGCGCATTTCCGGAATCAAAAAAGTATCGCGAGAAGTCGGGGAAACTACGTCACACCTCGTGACTTGCATTTGAAATGTCTCTTGATTTCGAAAGTAAAGAAATCTGAAGGCACAGGCTACCTTTTTGGCGTCTAGATCTAGATCTATAAAACTGTCTTGAAAAGATTCGATTTGGACAAACTGTCTGCTTAGTTGCATAAAAAATAAACGACCATCCTTTTGCCTGTTATTACCACTTTTTTAGGGTTGAATCTTCAAGCGAGGCTTTTCGATTTCAAGGGGAGACAATTAGATAAATATTCACATTGAAACCCCGTACAAGCTACGCAGTGGTTTCCCTTGATTGAAAATTTGAATTTGAAATTTTCTGCCAATATTATGTTTGTTTTGTTTTGGTAAGTGTTTTTACGGTGCTCGCAACTGCATAAGGTCATATGAGCGCGCGGGACACACCTTATATTTTCAGTTGGTAGGAAATTTTTGAATTTTGCCCGGGTGGCAGCCGAAGCCTACTCTTATCTATTTTAGACCACCAAGGGATCTTTAACGTGCGCAACTTGCACACGGGCCCTCCGAGATTTTTCGCCCTTGTCCGAGAAGGCTAGGTGTAGATCTTTCCTACCAGA